AATTTTTAATATTTATTTTTTAGTTCTCGGCGGACACAACATCTTTGTTGGTATGTGGTGCTGAGGATCGAACCCGGGCCGCACGCATGCCAGGCGAGCGCGCTACCGCTGAGCCACATCTCCAGCCCCCTGTATTTTTTATTTTAAGACAGGGCCTCGCTATATTCTTTAGGACCTCCCTGAGTTTCTGAGACTGACTTTGAACTTGTGATCCTCCTGCCTTAGCCTTCCAAGCTGCTGGGATTATAGGTGTGCACAAACACCCCCCGACTATATACTAATATTTTTGATATTGTTAATTACTTTTATTATAAGAAATTTTTTACAATTAGAAGTCTGGGAACTTGTTGCCTTTTATTTTTCATGACTGTACATTTTTGGAATTGGTAGTACGAGCTAAAATTTTCAATCTATCCCCAGGGTACACCATGAAAAGCTAGCTCCTGTCCCCCATTTCTCCTCCCTGAGAGTAACAACTGTGACTAGTGTCTTGTGCCTTGTGCTGGAAGAGACCCATGAGTCCACAGGCAAATGGGTATGTATTTATACAGCACTTATAAATACACCCTAAAATGCAGGCATGCAATGTATTTGGCCCGCATTGGTTTTTTTTTTTTTTTTTTCAGTTTTTAAACTGTTGAAGACAGTTTCACATCAGTGCACATAGGACTACTCCATTTTTATTTTTATCTTTTTTTAAATTTGGTGCTGAGAGGTAAATTCAGGTTCTCCCACGTGCTAAACACAGGCTTTACCTCTGAACTTCACCTGCAGTCCCCATTTTTATTTTTAATAGGCATTAGTGGCTCAATTCTTTCTTCCCTTTTTTCTTTCCTTTCTTCCCTAGAGAATGAAGTCAGGTGTGCTCTGTCACTGACCTTTTTGATTTTTATTTTGAGACAGGGTCTCATTAAGTTGCCTGGGCTGGCCCAGAACTTATGATCTTCCTGCCTCAGCCTCCTGAGTAGCTGGGATAATAGGCATGTGTGATGATACCTGGCTTCAATTCTCATTTTCTTTTTCTTCTTTTCGGCACTCTTTATTAAGGTACAGTCTGCATAGAAGAGAGTGTAACTAGCCACTCCCTTCTTTTTATTGGTTGCATCATCTGCGTATCGAGCAGCCTTAATTTTTAAATTTAATTTATTGTTGGAATAGAACGTGTGTGTGCATGTTATGAAAGTCTAAAAGTACAAAGGATTCACAGATTGAAAGCACAGCAGCCTTCCTCCCAGTGTGTCCCCCGTCTCTCGGTTCCTCTTCCAGGAAATTTACCACTTTCTTTTTCCTGTCCTATTCTGGATATTCAGCACTGTATAGAGAACATCAGCTGCACTGGGTCAGGAAGATTTTGTCTGTTTCTTTCCATGACATACTTCACGTTTTTAGTCTTTGGCACACAGTAGGTGCTTAATTGGTAGATAAACATGTAAGCAGATTATGTATACATTTGCAGGAATGGTACTTTTTTTCTTTTTCTTTTTTTGTCATGCTAGGGATGGAAACCAGGGCCTTGTGCATGTTAGGCAGGAGTTCCACCATCCAGTTACATTCCCAGGTCCTACAAATATGTCTTAAAAGACAGTCTTTCCTCCCTGAACACATAAGCTCCATGAGAGCAAGGAATCTCCCCCCCCCCCCCGGGGCTTTTGTTCACTACTGTACATAGTAAATGCATTAAAAATATTTGTTGAAGAAATGAGGGGCTCTCTTATCCTATTATCAAGTTCCGGTTTTACACACACATGCACACACGCACACACAAAAAAATATCAGTAAATGAAGGTGATCTTCATTTTCGCAGTTAGGCCCAGGATAAACTGGAAGATGGGAAAAAAGGAGAAATTAGGAAACTTTAGTCCCACTTCAAAAGCAGCAAGTATGACGTGGATCTGCTGGTTGACTTCAGCAAGAGCAGGGCAGGATCTACAGATCTTCTACAGGACAGAAGTGTGTTCAATTTCCTAGGGGAAAAAGGGCAGCACCTGAGTTCTGGGGTCTTACCAAGGCAGAGAACAATCCTATCTTTGGGGTAGGGTGTGGCACGCAGTAGGAATTTGTTTTAAAGACAAACAGGCGCTTAATGCCTATTTGCTGTGTTGACACACAGTAGGTGCTCCACCGCTTCTTGTAAAGTAAATAAAGGAGATCCTCCTATTCTAGAGTCTCAGGCATAAGCCAGGAGGACATCTAGATTTGAAGACAGTTGCTTTAGGTTGAGGCCACCTGGCTAGGAGAGCCATGACGTCACGGGGCTGCGTGAAGCCACGCACCGGCCGGTTCTCACGGGTGGGGGCTGGGAGGGGCAGGGCGAGAAGTGTGGGGGGGCGGACAAAGGGGCTCTGCGCACCGCCCCTGTCGGCCCCCGCGCTAGCCCGGGCTGGCCGGCCACATCTGGAATTCATTGCAGTCGCCGCCGGAAAGGGGAGGAGAGGAAGGCGGGGCAAGAGGGGGGGGCCGAGGCGGCGGCTCTCCCCGCCCCCCTCTGCCCCGGGTCCCCAGCCGCTGGACGCAGCTGAGCCCTGTAAGCAGCCCCAACCCCAGCCACGGCCGCCCTGGGGACGCAGACGCCAAGGCCCCTCGGGTCAGGGCAGGGACCCGGGCCGGCTTGACCAGGTGAGCGCTCACGGCTAGAGAGAGATAGAAAGGGCAGGCCCCTGTCCCCTGAGGTCGCGGGATCAGAGGTGGGGGGCCCAGCCAGGGGTCCGGGGCGCACTAAGGCACGCACGCGCCGCCCGTGTTTCTGCTGCACGGAGGGGACGGTCACCGTGCACCCTCTCCACGATTCCAGGCGATCCCCACTGACGCGGCTGCGAACCCCCAGACTTCTCTCCCCGCCTTTCCCGGGGCAGGAAGTTGGCGCCGAAACAGAAGGCGGAATCCTAGCGCTTTCGACTGGGGACTTTGGGAGGCTGGACAGTGTTCCTAGGGATCAGGGTTTGGGGGAGTGCTCATGGTGGGGGGGCACAGCACCCCTCCTGGCTGTCTCGGACTGAGTCAGGGCTAAAGGTGCTGTGGGTGCAAAGCCTCCAAGTTAGGGGGCGGGGCCCCACCGGAGGACAGATGCCCACCGCCTGGGCGTCTAGTTTCCTGCCTCGGTTTCCCTGAGTTGTTCGTTTTCTCTTAGCCCCCCGCGGGGGCGTGGCTTCGTTCTGGAAGGAAAGGAAGAGTGACTGCGTGGCTGGGGCACCTCCTCTTTCCCCTCTAGCCAAGTGATGAGGCGTAGATGGAGGCACGCGTGGCGTGGACTCCGCGGAGTCCCGGGCTCTACAGAGCGTTGGAATCTAGCCCCCTTCTCAGGCACGAGTTGACTCACCCGGGGATTTCCACCCCCTCCCCCGTCTCTGCCCTTGTCAGACACTCCAGGCGCCACTCAGAGAGCCCACGGTCCCCCGCGTGTCGCGACGCGGGAGCGGCACTGGTGCATCTCCTGCAGCAGGGATCTCCCTGCTCCCCCGACCTCCGGGAACTTCGAGGCGAGGTCACTGGTGAAATCACCACCCGCTCTGGGAGGTGTGAGGGTACCCCGCGTGGGGCGGTCTCGGGAGGGAGAAGGCGCCGCCCCAGCGCGAGCGAGTGGATACCGCACATTCCTCGGCCAGATAAGGAGGCCGAGAGTGCGGCACGGGGCGGGGGCGGGTCCTGCTACGGTCTCCACGGAGACGCGCTGCGCGTTGTGTTGGGAGGGCTGCTAGGGGACCTAGGCATCTCCAGCTCCCTTTGTTTTTTGGTCTGGGCGGCGCTTAGGAGCTGTGGTCCACCCTCAGTAGCCCCTTGGTTGCTAGGTTGGTTCCTTCATTCATTCATTTGCCCACTCCGCTGATTTTCTGAGTGCTTGATTTGTGCCAGACATCATTGGAAGGATTGAGAATGAAGTTGGTCCTTAGTTTCCAGCAACTCACGTGGCACTCTAGAARCCAGACAAAAACCCAGATAATTTCTGATAGCGGCAAGTGCTGTGATAGACAGGGATTGCGGAAGGCTGCTGCTGTAGACTGGTGGTCTGGGGAGGCCCCAGTGAGAGAGTGACCTTTACATAGAAACCTGAAAGAGGAGGAGGCTGTCACTCAAAGATTTGAGGGGAGGATGTCTGCCGGAAAGAACAGCAGCAAAAGCTTTGAGGTAGAGATGGCTCATAGGAAGCCAGTATGGTCACAATGGAGTGTCTCTGGGGGAGAATGGGAGGAGGCTGGGTGGGCAGGAGCCATAGGGAGCCATGGGAGAATGTGGAGCTGAGGAGCGGTATGAAGTTATAAATTAAAAAGCTCCCCCTGGCTGCTTGGAAGAGAATAGCAGTGTAGGGGGGCCTGACAGCCAGAAGGCAAGCAAAAGAGATAAAGCTACTCTTGGCAAGGGGCATGGGATCTCTGGGGACCAGCAGGAATTATGACCACAGGGTCTACCTCTCTGGAACTGTGAGGGGATGGAGGAGAGAGAGCCTGGAAGCCACTGAGCCTTCCTCCTACCTTCCCCCTTCCTAATCTCCAGCCAAACAGTCGTGTCTGGGTCTATCTCTTTTCCCTTCCCTCCCAACCCTGTCACTTGTCCCTCTTGTTCCATTTCAGGCCTGAACATTGCATCTCCCCGGAGGCCTCTTCCTGAGTCTCCGAGGGGGAGTCAGGACTGCCCTGGTGAAGGTTAACAGGAGACAGGCTCTAGGCCTTGGAGTCTGGTACAGGGAGAAGCAGGGAAGGCCAGCAGGAACAATGAATCTAGGATACAGCATGGTCCTCAGTTTACCTCTAACCAGGAGAGCTGCCCTCTCTGCGGATGCCTTAAGCTTCCTGGGTCTGCAGAAAGTGAGAGTGCAGCGCCTACAGTCTTCCTCTCTAGAGAAGAAGACAGACTTTCTGATCAGTCCCTGGGGCATGTGGGCTGAACACGTTTCTTATTTCTCCAGGAAATGGCAGTAAATCTTTCTCCTCCACACTGGAGAGGGGTGGTGGCCCCTATGCAGGCTGCGAAGGGGGCAGCGGCAGGGGGAAAAACCCTGGGCTTCTTGCCCATCATCGAGTGAGCGTCCCAGGCTTTCCAGGGGACCTTGATTCTAAATTATGAACCCCAGGAGGGACCCAACAGGCCAGGGCTGCCTGGGGGGGCGTCTGATGGGGTGACCCAGCGGTCAGGCCACGGTTCAAAGTAATCCTCAGGGACAGCTACACAGCTTTAAGACTGTCCTCTGAAAGAGCTGAGCTCCACTTGCTTGTGAACGCAGATAGTGGGATTAACCGGAGAGCGCCCCCAACCGGGCCAATCAGAGGCCGAAGATGGAAATTTCAGGCCAATAGGCAAATCGCTCAGTGCCCTGGGATTGAAAATGAGCCAATCAGTGCACGGGATGTTTCTGGCTCGACGGCTAGTCGGGTGAGGCCGCTGCCCAGGCCAAGCCAGCCTGGGAGCTGCTGCTGCGGGCAGAGGGCATCAGGGCGCCCGGGGCCCTGTCCGGCAGGGGAACAAGGGGCCTCTGTGTGGCGATCTGGGCGGGGCTGCTGTCCCCGAGGACACGCACAAGCTCTTCTCTGTTCCCAAACTAGGACGGATGCCCCTCCGCTCTGGGAGACGCAGCTGCCTCTGTAGGGCCCAAGGCCAGGACGCCCCTCCCAGGGGGCATCCTGGAAGTGAGATGACTGGGCGACCCCGGAAGCCCCTATCACTCCTAGGCTCACCAAGAACCGGCCCAACCAGCCTTTTCTGGAACCGTGCTTCTGGCTTACACTTGGCCCTTGGCAGGAGTGTTTCCATGGACTGGGGAGGGTTCTTAGCTCTTCTCCCCTTCACTTAGCCAAGGGTTGGCGCTTCCTCCCCGCTTCCCTCGTGAGAGGCAGACACTGGCCAGGCTCCTTTGAGACGCTCCTACCCCACCCCAGAGCTGGCCACGGTGTGTGCCTCTCATCCTCCCTTTCTAACAAGCCTCTTCCCGCCCCTTCCCCCATGGCTCAGTTTTCCTTGAAAGGGGGGTGGGTGACTCAGGCTTTCATGGAAACAAATGCCTTCGYTGCGGGGGCTGCACGCCCCTCACCACTCACATGACCTAGCACAGCTGCCCCGTCTTCCCAGCCAAGACCTCCCAGACTGGTCTCTGGTGGCCCTCCATTTCAGCTCCCCCCACCCAGACTTTCCCACACCGGATGTGACTAGGACTCCACCCTATTTGTTCCAGGGGCCTTACACATCTGGATTTTATCCTGGCCAGGGAGGGGGGCTGCCAGCGCCCTACCCAACCCCCTGGGACCCTCTGTCCCAGGGCAAAGCTAGATGGTGCTGATGAGAACAGGCTGTTGGGAACCTCTTGGTTGATTTAGTCAGCATCCTCTTCCAGAAGATTGGGTGGAGTGTACCCAGCCCAGAGTCCTTTGTGTGTGCCAGGAAGAGGGACGCTAAGAACATTAGCTARCACTTGTTGAGTGCTGACTATGTGCTAAGTGAGTTGTGTGCTTTCTTAAAAAAAAAAAAAAAACAGGGTCTCACCATGTTATTCAAGCTAGAACCACAGATAGGTGTCACCACACTAAGCTTCATAGTGCTTTATTTTATTTATTTACTTTTTGGTGATGCTAGTGATTGAGCCCAAGGCCTTACACATGCTCAGTAAGCACTCTACCGCCAAGCCACCCCTCCATGCAATCTTTAAAAGGATTTTCCTAACATCCCTTGGAAGGGGGTTTTCTTCTACCCAGTGCATAGATGAGAACATTGAGGCTAAGAGGCTGAGTGACTTGCCTGGCATGTCAGAGTTGGAGTGAGAACAAACTCACTCTGCATTGTCCCCAGGGTCTGTGTCCTTAAGATAGTGTGACCTCTGGGCTGCTTGAACCTCAGGGCCGCCCTGGTGTCTCCCAAGTCCTTATTTCAGGAGCACCCATGGCTTCGAGGCTTAGACTCAGCCTGAAATCAGGGCAGTGGGTGGTAATAAGCAAGGGATGGTACTATCAGTGGCATGAATCTCACTGACCCAGGTCAGCAGGCGGCATGAAGCCAGAGGTTTGCTCTCTGAATAAGTGGACAAAGTTTCTGAAAGCCCAGGGTGTCCACTTCATGGCATTTGGGGACTCTTGTCTGTTCCTGTGAAGGAGGATGCCTCTGCAGGGTGACGGAGGCTGTGGGGCCACCCTCTCTGGCCCTGCCACTTGCCAGCTTGGAGACTTTGGGAGAGTGAATCAGCCCGACTGGGTGTCCTATCTGAAAAGTGGGGATGATGATATTCCGACTTCCTGTGTCTACTCAGTGAGGACCGTCCAGGGTCAGAGCCAGGCATCAGCCACGGCACTGACCTGTTGTCTGTGTGTCTTTCTGTCTCTCTTCTCTGCAGTTGTGACAGACCCATGGCCCCGGCCAGTCACTGAGCCCCACCATGGGCGGCTTATACTCAGAGTACCTCAATTCCAGCAAGGTCCGGGAACACTACAATTACACCAAGGAGACGCTGGACACACAGGAGACGCCCTCCCGCCAGGTGGCCTCGGCCTTTATCATCATCCTGTGCTGCGCCATCGTGGTGGAGAATCTGCTGGTGCTCATCGCGGTGGCCCGGAACAGCAAGTTCCACTCCGCCATGTACCTATTCCTGGGCAACTTGGCCGCCTCAGATCTCCTGGCAGGGGTGGCCTTCGTGGCCAACACCTTGCTCTCGGGCCCTGTCACGCTGGGGCTGACCCCTGTGCAGTGGTTTGCCCGGGAGGGCTCAGCCTTTATCACACTGTCAGCCTCCGTCTTCAGCCTCCTGGCCATCGCCATTGAGCGGCACGTGGCCATTGCCAAAGTCAAGCTCTACGGCAGTGACAAGAGCTGCCGCATGCTGCTGCTCATCGGGGCCTCGTGGCTCATCTCGCTGGTTCTCGGGGGCCTGCCCATCCTGGGCTGGAACTGCCTGGGCCACCTGGAGGCCTGCTCCACTGTCCTGCCGCTCTACGCCAAGCAGTACGTGCTGTGTGTGGTGACCATCTTTTCCGTCATCTTGTCGGCCATCGTTGCCCTCTACGTCCGCATCTACTGCGTGGTCCGCTCGAGCCACGCGGACGTGGCAGGCCCCCAGACGCTGGCCCTGCTCAAGACGGTCACCATCGTGTTGGGTGTCTTCATTGTGTGCTGGCTGCCAGCCTTCAGCATCCTCCTCCTGGACTACGCCTGTCCCGTCCGCTCCTGCCCCATCCTCTACAAGGCCCATTACTTCTTCGCCTTCGCCACCCTCAATTCACTGCTCAACCCTGTCATCTACACGTGGCGCAGCCGGGACCTGAGGAGGGAGGTGCTGCGGCCCCTGCACTGCTGGCGGCCAGCGGCAGGGGTGGCGGGAAGGCGGGACGGGACCCCGGGCCATCGCCTCCTGCCCCTTCGCAGCTCCAGCTCTCTGGAGAGGGGCACGCACATGCCCACATCACCCACGTTTCTAGAGGGCAACACAGTGGTCTGAAGGGAAGGTGGATCAACAACCAGGCCTCTGAGGGCTGCAGAGAGGTGCTGGGTGACCTCGGACAGAGACAGGGGGCTGCCCAGCAAGGCTCATCCCAATCCCAGAGATCTGGGAGATATTGAGAGTTCACAGCTGGGGTGGCCAGTGGGGACACTGACTAATCAGTAGTGCTTCAGTGGGATGCTGGAGGCTAGTACAGTAACCATGGGGACCTTCAAAGGACTAGGATGACAGCAGGAGGGAGCTCAGAGCAGGAGCAGTTTACCATCCAGTACAAAGGATTCAACATTTTCCTTTCCGACCCCCCAACCTGCACCCAGCTCTTGTCTCTGAATTTCTCTCTCTTGCCACCTTTTCCGGACAACCTCAGGCCCTTCTTTGGAACCACTGTCTCCAGTTGGTTGGAAATCTCAGCCCCAACCCTCCCAGACCCAACTCCACAGCTTCCCTAAATTTCATCAGCTGCCACTTTGACTCCGTCTTCTCTTTCCTTTCACATGCCCAGAAAGGAAACCACGGGGTTAGAGATGGGGCGGGGAGGGGGCCGAGCCCCATTCCTCACTCTCAGACCTCATTGGCCAATTGCACTATTTGGGGCACAGAAGAATCACTGAGGGCTGGAAAAACCGGTTTGGGGGGCTGAGGAGGGCTCTGGGCCTCCCTGTGGGACAGGGTAGAACTTGAGAAAATTCTGGGGGAGACGTTTGCCCATTTCCCCCACTCCTATCCCCAAAACCACTCCCCCCAGCTCTTCCCACCTTCACAAGTCCTCCCCAGCCCAGGGCCCAGGGCCCCAAAGGCAGGGCAGCCTTGAGCCCGCTGTGCCTCCTTGCAAGATGTCTTGAATGGAGCATGGGGGTGGGGTGGCCCAGGCCATTTCCTGGGGACATTCTCCCTTCCCCTGCCCCAGAAGGACTTTGCTAATTCCTGTGGATAGATGGAAGAGCTGTTGCGGTACGAACTATATTTATGTGTGTCTGTGTGCACGTGTGTGGTGTCTGTGTCCTCATCCCTGCCCTGTTTCCCCCAGAATGGATGCTGTTCTGTCTTAACGTTCATGTCCATGTTGAAACTGCTAAAGAGGGTTCTGGTCCTGCCCAGAACCTCTTTGGAATTGCTGGCTTATCTGTCTACAGGAGGAAAACCTCAAATTAATGTCTTTGTGAATGCAAAGGCTGGGGGAGGGGGGCTTTGGGAGGCAAGGAGCCAGTTGGGGGCTTGTCTCCCTTTATATAGCTCCCCAGATGCCCCCCCATGCCAGACACCCAGATCTGGGCCAATAAACGGTTCAATTTTTCTTTCGGGTACTGTTGTGTCTTTGGTGACCATTCCCTCATGAGCACCCCTTGGCTGGGCCAGTTGAGTCAGGGAAGGGTGGCTGCCCATCCTTTCCTTTGCCAACCTACCTTCCCTTTTCTTTCTTACTGCCCCCCCCCCCAACCCCGCCAAGCTGTGAGAGCAGTGGCTTCTGAGAAGACGCTGTCCTGCCACTCCCAGTGATTCATGAAGGCTGGGGCCTCCTTGCCTTTTTTCTAAGAGACAGCCTGGCTGGTGATGGGGGCCCCCTCCTCCATCCCAAGTCCGTTTGCCTTCCTGTGAGGGAGGTGTCAAGATCTTAAGGACATGTGGATTCAGAGAGGTTAAGCAAACTGAGGGTCACACAGCACTCATCCGGGAATTCCTGGCTGGATTTGAACCAAGGGGGCTGATTCTGGCTTCAACACTGGGCTGGAGAAAGGCACCGAAACCTGCTCTTTGATATGGAAGGGGAGGCTACAAGCCTTTCCCAGGACCAGAAGAAACCCAAATGGTCTTGCAGCTGTGGGGGTTGAGAGGCCCCTAACTGGGCTCTTCTCCATTGTCTGGAGGCAGGGAGCCCAGCAGCCCTTTTGAAGACAGGTCTAGAGTTTTGATGGGGGATTCCAGGCCCCCAAGCTAGAGCCTCACCCAGTGATACCAGCTGCCCAGGACAACAGACAGAAGCAACCCCCATAGGAATTCCCCTCTTTATTTAGAAACCTGAACCCTAGCTGGGACTCGGGGTAGGAGGTGGTGGGGTTGCAGAAGTGCCAGAAGCCAGCCCAGAGTCAATGAGTTTTCTCCAAATATCTATGCTTCCTCCAGCTCCTCCTTTAGTCCTGGGTCAAATGCCACCTCCTCAGAGAGTCCTTCTCCACACATCTCATTCCCTCTTTAGCCCCTTATCTGCTTACCACCTGGCAGTAAATTATATCAATTATGTGTCTGTCCCATTAAAATGTGAGCACCTTAAAGACAGGACTGTGTTATTCACCAGTGTGTCTCTAGCATCTTAAATAGTACTTAGGGGACTGGGGTGTAGCTCAGCGGTAGAGCATTTGCTTAGCATGCATGAAGCCCTTGGTTTGATTCCTAGCACCACAAAATACAAAACAAAAAAAGTACTTGGGGGGCTGGGGTCGTGGCTCAGTGGTAGAGTGCTCACCTAGCACGTGTGAGGCCCTGGGTTCGATCCTTAGCACCACATAAAAATAAATAAATAAATAAAGCTATTGAGTCCAACTACAAATAAAAATAAATATTAAAAAATAAATATTAAAAAGTACTTGGCATGTTCTGACTCTAAGACCTTTGTACTTCCCATCCTCTCATCCTCCCATCCTGGAGTATGTGCTCATTTAGTGTTTTTTTTTCCCCCCCTTTCTTTTTTAGTTGTAGATGGACACAATACCTTTATTTTATTTATTTACTTTTATGTGGTGAGGAGGATCAAACCCAGGGCCTCACATATGCCAGGCGAGCACTCTGCCACTGAGCCACCACCCCAGCCAGCCTCATTAGTGTTTGTAGGATGAGTGGAGGCTAGGGTAGGCTAGCCCAGTGGCAGAGAGCATGCTTAGCTTATGGGGAGCTGGATTCAATCCTCAACATTGAAAAAACAAAAGTATTAGCTATGAAGAAAATACAATAAAGTGTCACTTTGGGGGTATAGTTTTTTTTTTGGCACTGGAGATCAAATCCAGGGGTGCTCCATCTCTGAGCTACATCCCCACCCTTTCTATTTTATCTTGAGGCAGGGTCTCACTAAATTGCCCAAGCTGGCCTTGAACTTGTGATGCACCTGCCTCAGTCTCTAGAGTCACTGGGATTACAGGTGGGTACCATCATGCCTGGCCACAGGTGATATTTTAGATGGCAAACCCAGAGTCAAACCCCACACTGGTTGGATAGCCCTTTGGAGATAAGGCTAATCATAATAGGAAAACCGTCAGTGCTAGGAGGTGTTGGGAGTACTTGACATCTGCAAACTCATGAAATCCTCAAAATAGCCCTTTAGAGTAGTATTAGTGCCTGCTCTTAGACAGGTAAAGAAACTGGGGMACAGAGAGGTCAAAGTGAGGAGTGAAGTGAGACCCCTCCACTGCGATCACATCTGGTCCTTCTCAATATTCTGGTCTCAAGATCTGATTTACTGATAGCTCCCAAACTTTGGAGCCTAGAATGAAACGGACCAAGTTGCAGGAAATGCAAGATGATTTCCATTTTCTTTTTTGCTAGGGAGGCTGGTAGCTATCAGGGAACATTAGAATCTCCTGAAAGAACTTGTTAAAATGCAGATCCTCAGGCTCCACAGGCAGAAATTTAGATCTAATAGGTCTTACCTGATGCCAGGAATGTGCATTTTTCACCAAGCAACCCTGATAATTGAAAAATGTCTGGTCAGGAAAAAAAAAAGTTTTGATTATTATTGTCATTATTGCAACTCATCTTAGACTGGGGCTTGTAGCTCTGTGGTAGAGCACTTGTCTAGCATGCATAAGGCCCTGAGTTCCAACCACAGCACTATGAGGGGAACAGAAGTGATTCTTTTTTTTTTTTTTTTTTTTAAAGAGAGAGTGAGAGAGGAGAGAGAGAATTTTTAATATTTATTTTTTAGTTCTCGGCGGACACAACATCTTTGTTGGTATGTGGTGCTGAGGATCGAACCCGGGCCACACGCATGCCAGGCGAGCGCGCTACCGCTTGAGCCACATCCCCAGCCCCACAAAAGTGATTCTTAAACCATACTCTGAGAAACATTCTAGACCCCATAATCCAGAACATGAACATAATCCACATCCATGGGTACATTTTTTCTGTTGTTGGTACCGGAGTGCTTTGCCACGGAGCTACATCCCGAGCCCTTTTAATTTTTTTGGGGGGGATACCAGGGATTGAACTCAGGGGCACTTGACCACAGAGCCATATTCCTAGTCCTATTTTGTATTTGTTTATTTAGAGACAGGGTCTCACTAAGTTGCTTGGTATACCTCGCTTTTGCTGAGGCTGGCTTTGAACCTGCCATCCTCCTGCCTCAGCCTCCTGAGCCACTGTGATTATAGCCACCTTTTTATTTTTTATTTTGTGACAGGGTCTCAATAAGTTGCTGAGGGTCTCGCTATATTGCTGAGGCTGAACTCAGACTTTCCTATCTCAGCTTTTTGAGTCACTAGGATTACAGGTGTGTGTCACCCATATCTGGCAGATCTATGTGTGGGAAGCCAACCTTATGGGTGACTGAGTTACACTCCCCAGCTGGGTGCTGAGGCCCTCAGTCACAGAAATGGGTGTATCTTCCTACAGCCCCATGGGTACAGCTATGCTCACCTGTTGCTTTGTAATATAACCCCTTGCCCTGTTTAGGATAGAATCTTCCATGGAAGTGCCTTGTGTGTGTCCCCTTCTCTTACTGTGCCCTTGGGTGTGGCCTACCCAGGTGTCAGTCAACCTGCTGACAGTGGACATCATGAAGACAGACTCAGCCCCCTGAAACCTGACCCCTTGCCTCATTTGAATAGCTTCTCCTCAATAAAAGGGATCAGCATGTGCTCTCGCTCTCTCTTTCTGCAGACCCTTAAGGTCAGAGGGGCCGGCYGTCACAGCGACCCCAAAGAAAAAGGTATTTGTGTCTCTTGTGTGGTTATTTCGTGCAGCCCAGTTAGCCCAGTTTAACTAGAGTGACCCCTGAGCCTTTTAGTCTCGAGAACAGAAACCTGGCATCTATGGACACTTGAAATGTGGTTAACATAAAGCAGAGACTGAATTCTAAATTTTAATACCCATGCATGGTCATTGGTTACAGTATTAGAAATCACAATTCTAGACTCTTTCAGCATCATAACAAAAACCCACAGGGCGTACCACTATTATGAACGACATGGTAACTTCCATATATTTCTTTTAACAATGATGTCAAGATGAGACTCAGTTGCAAATGATTAACAAAATATTAGTGACTTAAATGAGAAAGAAATTGATTTCTCTCATGTGAAAGAGCTTCAGAGGAAATAGGTCCAGGTCAAGAAGGAGGGATGGCCACTTACTAGTAGCTTAGGCTCCCATTGTCTATCCGTTCATGTATCCATCCATCCATCCATCCATCTAAATACTTCACCAAGTTTCCTAAGAACAAAGCATTCTTTTACATAACCTCAAAAAGCCTCAAAAGCAGGAAATCAGCAAACCTTAATCAGATTTCACCAGTTGTCTCATTATCGACCTGAACAGCAGAAAAAAATCCTAGATCACTCATTGCACTCAGTTGTCTCTTCGTCTCTTTCAACTGGGACACTTTTTGATCATGTCTTTCATGATCTTGACATTTGAGAAATAGAAGTCAGGATAATGCCCTTCTTCTGATATTTCCTTACCTCTAGATAAAGACTATGAATGTCTGGCAGGAAGACCTCAGAAGAAGTGAGGCTGTATCCCTCTCCCTGCATCCTATCAGGAGGAACTGCTGATAGGGATCATTACCGATGCTGATTAGTCCCATCAGTGGTAATGTTAATATTGATCACTTGCAATCCTCAGCATCAGGAAAAAAAAATTTGTTTGATCACTTGGCTAAAGCAATATCCTCCAGATTTCTCTGCTTTAAATTTACTATTTTCCTTTTTACAATTATTAAGTATCTTATGGGAAGATACTTGGAAACTGTTAACTATGCTCTTATTCATTAGGCTTTCACTTCCATCTAGTTTTGCTTGAATCAGTTATTACTCACCGGATATTCTGAAGCAAATCTGAGAGGTCAAATCTTTTCATTTGTAAATACTCTTCTTTTTTATCTTTAAAAGATAGCAATACTTAAAAAACTTAACCACAGGTTTGGGTTTGTGGCTCAGTGGTAGAGCGCTCGACTAGCATGTGTGAGGCCCTGGGTTCGATCCTTAACACCACATAAAAATAAATAAATAAAATAAAATCATTGTGTCCATCTACAACTAAAGGAAAACATTTTTAAAAA